AAAACTCAAATTTAAACTCAAATTTTGTAAAAAAAAAATATGAATTTGAATTTAAGTTGTAACTTGAGTATAGTTTATTTATTTATTTATTTATAGTTTAGGTGCCAAAAGAACACACTAGTATCAGTTTTTAAAAAAATTAAGTGAACGTTGGTTGAATAGGTGTAAGATGCACCACTTAATTCCCTCCTTTAACCAGAGAAAAAAAATTAAACGGAGAAAAACTTCCTTATATCTCCGGTGATTGGCCAAAAGTCAACAATCAATGTTCAAAAGATTAAATGGGAACATTTGGAATGAAAATGTTGTTTTCCTAAAAACGCATATAACAAGATGACAGCTAGTTGCTTCTAAACGAGCATTCCCGTTTGCAATGCCTTGAGTTTAGTTCTTGAGTTCGAGCCTTTCAAGTGAAGTATTTTATTATTCGAATTCTCATAAACTTCATTGGCGATTTGGATATTTTTATTTACTGGAGGGAAACCGGCTTCCCGGACTTAGGCGAGGTCAAGGTATGCATAGGCTCTTCCTTTAACTTGCCTCATTACTCTTAGCTCCCGACTACACTCTTAGCCTCCTCCCGTAACTTTATTCATTACTACTAGTCTCCATTACCCCTATGCTACAATGAGTTAGGTTAGCCCGAGGCTAGGAATGAATTCTAGATTCCCGTTTTCACGTCTGGCCGTAAGAGAGAGTTTTTCTTTTTCAGACCAAAAAAAATAAAAATAAAAAATTGTAATAACACTTGGTAAATATTTATATTTACCGAGCAATTGAAAAATAGCAAATGTTTATACGATACGATGTGCTTAAAATTTATGTTCAGTTAGTTTTCTCCTTAGATTTTTTAATTCATTTTTTATGATTCCAATGGTATTATTTATTGAGGAAATATATAATAAGAAGAATGTATCTCAATTAGTACATAATTTGGGATGTACAGTCAAAATAAATATTTAAGTTTCCTTTTTTCCCGATGTTACAAAGATCTGTTATAGTTTTCTTTCTTTTTTTTTCTTTTATATAACATCATTTTCGTCGTCATCAAATATTTTACATTTTTTATCATCAATTAAATGGAGTAAGCCATTCATAAATTCTCTATTCTCGCATATCTCTTTAGGAAACTCCATATTAAAAAGCATATCAAGGAAATAAATAACAAGAAAAGTGAATCTCAATTATTGCATAATATGGGATGTATAATCAATATAGATATTAGTTTCCTTATTTTCCGATATTTAAAAGATTTGTAATAGTTTTCTTTTCTTATTAATGATGCATCATTGTATACTTTACATTTTTTTATCATCAATGAATCTGGCAAAGTCATTGGACAAATTTTCTATTCTCCTATTTCACTTTATTGTTCTCGAAACTCAGTTTTTATATCTAATTTTAGTGTTTTAATTATTGTCTAATCAATCATAAAATATATTTATTAGGAAATGATATTATATGATATGATTGATTAGACATTAATTGTAATACTAAAAATTAAACAAAAATTCTAAATCCATTATTCAGTCACACACCGACAATATTCACGCAATATAATTTCTAAAAAGGCAAAAACTACAAGGGGATGTCTTCATTTGTTGACACTTTACACCTATTTATCTCTCTCTCTCTCCATTTTCTTTTGTAAACTTCAAAGGTAGGTATTTGCGGGCCTTGGACGTTGCACAACCATTTGTTTGACAATGCCTGCACTTGGTGTTAAAATATAAAATTATTAGTGATTTATTTTCTATTAGCTTAAATTTTTAGGATGAATTGATAAATTAATATGGTATCGGAGTGAGAGATCATGAGTTTAAATCCATGTAATTATACTTTTTATCTCAATTTAAATTGTCATTATGTGTTGAGTCTTTAATATATTTTGAGCTTAAATATTCATGTATTAGGATTTTTAATTAATTTATCAACACGATTGTCCATTATCCAACCCACATGTGAAGAAAAGTGTTAAAGTATAAAACTATTGTTGACCCACCGTATTTTTGGCCAACTTCCTATTAACTTAAACTTTTAAAATGAATTAGTAAATTAACATTTAGACTGGCGTAGAAGGCAGGGGTGAGCTGCACAAAATCAAAGGCAAAACAGTCAGAGCACAAAAGGGGAAAGAAGGGATTGAACCCAATTTCATTAAATTCCACAGCTGCGTACAGCCTCAAAGCAAATGATAGTTAAACATAGAAACATTCAGCAAACGACATATACATTTCTAGGACCAAGCACAAACGGCAACTTTAACTTAAAAACAAACGACACAACGCTTAGACTTGACTAACGACACTACGTTTGGTTTATTTAAATACAGCTAAGCAAAGAGAGAACATATATTATTAGTACCCTAAGAAATATTTTGTTTCTTCTTTCCAATCACTTTTCCTCGTCTTTAAGTTACCCAAACATGTTGTCATCAACAAAAAAAGTTACCCAAATATGTCAAATTTTAGGAATATCTTCATAATCCCTCGCTGTTTTTTTTCTTTTTTCTTTTTCTTCCCACGTAGGCCGTAGCCTTTTTCCCCTAACGGAAACTTTAATTCAGATATATTTTTTTTTGGGTGAATTTCAAACTTCATCAAGGTTTCAATATGTATATAATATCACGTCGCTTTCGGCAATTTTCACTACCCAATAGAATTCAAGTTCAATAGACATAAAAAATTAATATATGAAATTATAAAATTATTAATAAATTGTAGTTATAAAACTATCAAATAGTACATTAAATTAATATATTCATCCAATTAAATATATTAAGAATTAGCATATGCATTACTCTTTTTTTTTTTTTTGGTTTAAATGCATTACTCTTTTCCATCTTATATTTATAGGGGTAAAACCTACAATTAGAGAAACTAAGAGCCAATGACCGAGTTAGGAGTCGTCGATTAGAGATTGATCCTGTGAGAATGAAAGCCTTAATAAAACGCTCACTCGTTAATGAGACTTACGTCTTTTGAGATAGAAAGGGAATGCCGAAAAATATAGAGAATAATGAGAAAATATTTTAAAAGTGAGCGTGAGTGCTTGAGTGTACTCGTAGTAATCAACGTATATCTCTGAGGATGCCCGAATGCCTTGTATTTATAATTGATGAGATTTCATAGGTTGTTTCTCATTTCTTTGGTCGATTTGACTTTTAATCAATAATCCTTTATTTATTTTTGAGTGATATTTGACATGCCTTTTTAGTTTTTACATTCCCGTTAATTAGTCAAACGTGGTTTATTTCCATTATGAGTTGATTCTGCTTACTTATTGTGCGATTGTTGAGGATCTAATTTCCTTCCTCATTGGGCGTGTTTCTTGCTAACCAATCAACCGTTAACTTCTTTTTCCCTTTGATTCCTCTAGCTTGACTGACTAATTTCTTTTATTTTTAGATTGATTCGGTTGCCGATTTCTATTTTTAAGAATGTATTTTCTCATTACTTAATCCTCAAGGTTGTGTATAAAACTCGTGGGATTAACTAATAAAATTAACTGATTAACGAGTCGTCTTAGTCTGGGGAGTCACAATGACTTGCTTAGTAACTAATTAGAACCCGAATTACTATGCGTACGAAATCTAATCTTAACAATACTAATATTAATAATGTCGAAATGTAGTAATCTAAATTTCGTTACATTATTTTGATATTAGATAGTGCAATCTAATGTATCTATCTATAATATATGTTCGTCATTTTTTTTTTGGGTTAAAGCTACATGAGTCGTTCATAAAGATGGATACTACATTGGTGAATTATTTAAAAGGGAAATAGTAGAAAATAGACCAATATGAAAAATTTAAGAAAGTATATATGTTAATTTTTAGTTATAGAAATTTATAGGCCATAACTTGTCAAGTTATGGTTCATAACCAGATAAGTTATGAATAAACTTGTCAAATTATAGTTCATAACCAGACAAGTTATGTACAATTATGGATAATAACTTGTCAAGTTATGGTTCATAACCAGACTAGTTATGAACGAAAACAGTAATTTAACATATTTATTAACTTATATAAACTATTAACCTATTAATTTTAATTCATCTCAAATCTTAATCTATTTCTCTCTTTCTCCCTATTTAAAATAAATATTACACCGTCTATTCTTACATATAACACGCATCCGTAATTTCTGTATTATTAAATTAAAGTAAAAGGTAGGCCCACGTAATTTGAGGAGCAAACCCCGCGGAAGAAGTGGAATCAGAAACGGTCACCGAATCAGAATCCAATGATGCGATTCGAAATTAGGAACCGGGAAAACAGTCGGTCAGTGTTAGCCTTCGTAAAAACAGCTATCAAGCCAGGGCAATACCGTAATATACCACCACCAACCCACCGAAACGTTTAAATGCAGAAGAGATTAATACAAACAAAACAAAAGAAATGGAAAGAGGAAGATGGATATGTATCAGAAACAGAGAGAAAGAGAAAGCTAGGTTGGACTATGGAGAGCGACTTTCTCAAAGAAAGAAAAAAAAAAAAAAACGCTATTTTAGCACTTAACATAATCAATTTTGCAAATTTTGTAGGCCCACATTGTAATAAAGTCACAAAATAAATAATTTTTACATATTATTACCCTTTTTCCTTTTAAGAAATTAGAGAAATGAGAGGAAAAATAACAAGCCTCTTTCTTTTTGGTTGATTTATATATATGTGTACGTATATAGATATATTATATATATATATATATATATGATATATCCCACCGCTAACTGTGGCGCTGAATCAGTTTCTAGTTTCTACCAAAATTGCCGTCTCTTTCTAAATTTAGTGTTGAAGACACACTTTCTTGCTGTACGCGTTCTTTTTGCTCCACTTTCATTTATCTATTTATTTATTTTTTCCTTCTTCTGGAGATTTTGGATTTTTGTATTTATTATTTCTCCTTGTTTGGATTAAAAAGGAATTTATTTTCGACAATTTATTTTGGAAGGGGTCTTTGTTTACTTTTTTGTTCACTTATGAGTGGCGTGTTGTCCCTTAAATTATAAGATTATTATTATTATTATTATTTTGGGTTTAGTTTTGGAAGCTTTTTTTTTTTTTTTGTGTGGGGATTTTCGGGGACTCAGACAGACAGTGTGTGTGTCCTCTAGGGCTTTTCTTCTTCTTCTCGCTTCTGAAGGAGAGAAGAGAAGCTTTTTCTGTGGAGATTTGGGGATTAGGGTCTCGGATTTCGGTGTTTAATCTCCATGTGAAGAAAAATGAGCTGCTTTTCTTGCTTTAGTCACCGCCGAAAGGATGCGAGTAAGGTCGAGATTGATAATGGCGCTCGATCTTCAGGTGTGTCTCGCTTTTTCTCTCTCTCCGTTGAATCTGCATTTTTTAAAATTTTTTTTGGTTGGATTTCGGTCAATGCGAGTGAAACAATGCGTGGAATTTGCAGGTGGAAAAGGAAAGGCGAATTCCGATGATATTGGTACGGGCTTTAACGCTTTTTCTTTTTTAATTTTTAGTTCAAAAGTTTGGAAATTCTCTGTTTACATTTGTCGATAAAGTTGGTTTTTTTTTTTAATTTTAAGAAATTGGGGTTATTTGACATTCATTATTTTGCTGTTATTGTCATTTTCGAAGTAGTTGTTACTGTTGTTATTGTTGATGTGATTTTTTTTTTCCCATGTTTCTTTGGTTTTGAGGGATTTGATTATCTGAATTGTACAATAATTGTGTGCAGGGAATGGGAAGGGAAAAGGAAGGGTTGGTAATGGCCCTAAGAACAGCGCGGCGCGAAGCTTCACGTTCCGGGAACTTGCGGCGGCGACGAGGGGCTTTAGGGAGGTGAATTTGATTGGTGAAGGGGGTTTTGGAAGGGTCTTCAAAGGCCGTTTGGAAACAGGACAGGTGAAATCTCAGGGCCTTTTTTTTCTTTTTTTCCTTCCTTACCAACATTTGTCACATTTACTTTTTGAGTTTTATTATATTCATTTTATAAAAGTGCTTTGTGGTTGTGCTATGTTTTTTATATTGCTGGTTTGTAGACAAGCTCAAAATTTTGCAGTTAGTATGGTTTATGCTCCGTTCATATTATTTCATTTTCAAGGGAAAACAAATTCTACAAAAGATTTTCTTGTCTTAATATTGAACTAGCTAGCGAAGAAGTACTTATTATATCTACAAGAAATTGCATTTTCAGCGACTAAGCTGTCTTAGTTGCTAACTTGCTAAGAATTAGGAAGGGTTTTTATAAGGCATTTTGGAAACAGCACAGGTGAATCTCAGCGATTTTCCCAACATGTGGCACATTTACCTTTTTCTCAGTTTCCTATGGTATTCATCTGAGGATTAGTGTTTTGTGGCTTGTGCTGTGTTTTGTATAGCAATGGCTTTAGAATTTATTATTCTAATAAAGTGTTCTCTGAACGGGACTTTGGAAGTAACTCAAAGCATTGTTGGTTCTTATTTTTGGTGAAGTTTTGAATTCCACGTAAATGACCTTTGACATTTCGCTTTTGTGGGCAGGTGGTTGCCATCAAGCAACTTAATCACGATGGCCTTCAGGGGTTTCAGGAGTTCATTGTTGAGGTTCTAATGTTGAGCCTTCTTCACCACTCTAATCTTGTTACCTTGATTGGCTACTGTACCGATGGAGATCAAAGGCTCTTGGTTTATGAGTACATGGCAATGGGTAGCTTGGAAGATCATCTTTTTGGTAAGTATTGTAGTCCTTTTCCTTCGTGTTTAGTACATAAAATTTGCAAGTAGAGTGTAACTTAATTTCATAAAAGGGGATCTGAGCAATGAGCATAAAAGATTAAAGTTCTTCAATTTTCTTTGGGGCAAGTACTGCATATAGCTATGATTGCAGGAAAAAAAAAAGAATAATACATCCCCAACAAGTTCGCTAGAAATGTTAGCTCCCAAGCTTTTTCTTGAGGTGTCATATGATATCCTCTCCCCTAGACGTTTTGATGAGTTTTTCTAATGTGTTGAATGGGTAATGTTAGTGAGTTAGACTAATTGAAGAACAAGCTTGAAAACACATGTGATCTGATATATTCATTATTCTAATTTCATATGTTCCGTAGTCGGTGCCAGATGGCTCCCTAAATTTTAGGATAGAATATGGTGTCATCTACCAAAGCCTGTTCGGCAGTTTATTTATCCTGATGTTGAACTTGACTTGAGAATTTCAATGTTAGTTCTACGGCAATAATGCATAATACCTGGATTCTCTTGTTGCCAAGCATATCTTTTTTGCACTAATGTATATTTTGCATCATCAGATCTCGTGCCTGATAAAGTCCTGCTGAGTTGGGAAACCCGTATTAAGATTGCTGTTGGTGCTGCACGGGGTCTTGAATATCTCCACTGCAAAGCGAACCCACCTGTTATCTATCGCGACTTGAAATCAGCAAATATCTTGCTGGACAATGAATTCAATCCAAAGCTTTCAGACTTTGGACTCGCTAAACTTGGACCTGTTGGTGACAATACACATGTTTCAACCAGAGTGATGGGAACATATGGCTACTGTGCACCGGAGTACGCCATGAGTGGCAAATTGACACTTAAATCTGATATTTATAGCTTTGGTGTAGTCCTCTTAGAGCTTATTACTGGACGGAAGGCAATAGACGTCACAAAGAGACCTGGTGAACAGAACCTAGTTTCTTGGGTGAGTTAATTCTACTTTTCTTCTATTTCTTGTTATATCATCAATTTATCTAGCTTTTATAAAGTAAATAAAATTGGTGTCTTATATACCGACTACCCCTGGAAAGTGAGATAAAATGCTACTTTTACTCTTTGTTGAAATCTAAAATTCCTGGACTTTATATATATATATATATATATAATGCTACTTTTACTCTTTGTTAAAATCTAAAATTCGTGGACTTTATATATTTATATATATATATATATATTTACTTATACATACATATATATATATATATGAAAGGATCCTGGACTTTATAGTTGAGGACATTTGTTCTTAATAAACAAACATAAATAATCCTCTATAGGACAATAATCCTGTATTTGAATGTCTTTTGTTTTGTTTTTTTTTGCGCATTGCAGTCTCGTCCATTTCTAAAGGACCGGAGAAAGTTTGTGCAATTGGTCGATCCATTGCTACAAGGTCGATTCCCCGTTCGTTGTTTGCACCATGCAATCGCTATTACTGCAATGTGTCTTCAGGAGCAACCAACTTTTCGTCCTCTTATTAGTGACATTGTTGTAGCTCTCGAGTACTTAGCCTCCCAGAGTAGCAAAGCGGAACATCCTAAGGACGAGGTTCGTACTACCCCAACGTCATCACCATCACAGCAGCACAGGGATGGTTTTTCTCAAAAGTCAAACTATAGAATGAGTTCATCTTCAGCTTGAGGTTTCTTTGTGGACGAGCTGCTGACTCTGATCCAGTAAGGCATCAAGCAAAACACTTTTTTCCTTTATTGGACTTTTTCATCATATTTATTTTTAGACCTTTTCTAGGAATTAACTAGGAAGGCTGCCTGTTTGCCTGACTTTAACCCACACAACCTATACATTGTTCCTACCTTTAGAAGCAAGGAAAAGAAAAGGAGAATAAAACAAAAAAAAAAGAAAAAGGAAAAGCCCCACCTTGATAAACATAAATCTCCAACTTGTCAACTTTTCAAACAGAAAAGCCCCACCTAAGAGATGGTTAATGTGCATAGCAGAAAAAGGGAAATAGGGAAATGTCAAAGTCGTCAGTAAGACCTTGTGTGGTTGGGGACCAATTGACCTTAACATTCATGAATGCCGATTCTATGTTCTAGAATTGGCTTCCAATTGACCTTAACATTCATGAATGCCAATACAATGTTGTAGAATTGGCTTTCTCCGTTGGTGTCATCACTGATAGAATCTGTAGTTAATAGTTTATTATTTCTTTTCTCAAGATAGTTGGGTATTATTATAGGAGAATATTGATAACGTAAAAAAAAAAAATAAAAAAATAAAAATCATACCAATACTATATAGATTTGAACCCTAAGGTCTTCATGAAGTTTCATTAAATTTACATTTTTTTTTTGTTAGTAGGGTATTTCTTTTGGAGAATTCAACGATAGGATATGTTTAGTAGAGTTCTGTTTTAAACCGTTACATCTATATCAAATTTTATCAGTTTGGCATGTTTTTTCATTTTAATGTGATTTTGATTAGATGTAAACATTGAGAAAGATGTACAATGGGTTGGGACCCCTACCATAGAATGACCCTTTTTCTTAGTAGTTTGTTAAAAAATGAAAAAGAAAAGGTTTTGCCTTACTTTAACTGTTGGATCTGTCGTGTTTACTGCTTGCAGGTGTATAGCCAAGCCCAATGAAATAAATTTCTGAAATACCAGTGTAATATGTCCGCAACCTAAAGAATGGGGATAGATAAATTTAATTGTATATATGTTATCTGGGTTTGGATATTGTGGCGTATTTATCGTTCATAAATTATGCCTCTCTCAGGTGAGTAATCGGTTGGCCAAAGATTTAGGAAGGTAGCAATGGTCTTGTGGAGATGAGTTTACTATATAGTGTTTAGCAAAAGTAGGACTATAAGATGCACAACGAGGACTATATATTTTAGGATTTTTTTTTAAAGAATTTTTTATGTTTTATTTTAGCTGCACAAATATATATATATATATGATGTTTTGTTTGGTTTGGCAAACCAGCATATCTTGCGGGTGAGAAACCCACAAACCGGACATGTAAAAAACATGCTTCCGAGGAAAAAAGAAAGATGACAAAAAAAAAAAAAAAAAAAAGGTTTCAACCGAGGTTTTGGTTGTGTAGTTCACCATTGCGACAAAAATTTGACCACAATCTCTAGTGGCCGACACAAGTGGTTCAACTGGGTTTGAATCATCTTGGTCTTATGGATGAGAATGTTTCTTGCGGAGGGTTTTTTTTTTTTTTTTTGGGTATAAATAGTGGGGGTTGCAATTCGTATCACGTGTCGTATTTTGATCGTTTTTTTAAAATTTACAGTCAATCCGAACACGACTCGTGACATGATATTTTTTAAAAATCACAACACGAACACGACACGATCACTTTACGAGCTGACACGACACGACCTGAAAATGACATGTGACACGAAATTGACCCGTGAACCCGAAATTGACACGAAAATTGTATACTTTTATTTAGTTTTTTACATATTAGAAATAACTTCAAATTCATAACACACTAAATTATAATAACATCCATTGAAATTAAGTAAATAATAGTATAAGATTTTGAGTATGACTATCATGATATCACAAGTTCATAATAAAATTTAAAATATAAAATGAAAAATATATGTATTTTTTAATTTTTTACGAGTTTCGTGTCGTGTTCGGATTAGGCGGGTCTAACCTGAAATTGACATGTATTTTTCGTGTCAATTTTAGGTCGACTCAATTCTGACCCGAACTTTTTTTTTTTAACCATAATCCGTAAAATTTACGTCGTTTTCGAGTCGTGTTGTGACTCATATTACCGACCTTAAACGAAATAGACGATTCTTATGAAGTTTTAGCGGGTGCGTTTTGAGAGAAAAAAATAAAACTCGTGCCCTTGGTAAAATATTAATCTTAATTAAAGGATAAATGGCAATCTGCCTACTAACATTGAGAAAGGGTTCATGCATGCCAGTTCACCCACAGCTCACAAGTAAAGCGTGGACCGAGTTTTACTCCAATTTATTATCCAGGCGTACCTTTAGAGGAGTATTTAGTGGGAAACTTTCCTTGTTTTCAATGGTTTACGTGATTTGATTTGATTTGATTTGATTTTTTCTGGGTTTCAGTCAAAATTTGTCCTCCAGACTAGGACGAATTGGTTTTTATTTATTTTTTTCTTATTTTTATTTTATTTTATTTTTCTTCTTTTAGTCCTATGATCATACGGCCCACGTCTAAAAGTAATATGGCTGGTCACTACTAGCTGGCGAAACTATTGGACGGCATATTAATAAATTGTTGGGTCCCTCAGAGACAAAGACTAATCAGGAACTTAATAGAGAGCACGAGTTATAAACTTGACCAGGAAAATGTTAAAAGGGTAAGCAATTCAGGGTTCAATTTTTTGAAGTCGAAAGTTGTTGCATATTTGTTCAAAGGGTTATTTACCATTTCGTACCCTCTGTTTTAGACATATTTAAAAAGTATTTTTTAGTTTTTATTCTCATTAAATATATATCATTAAATTGTCTACCCTTTCTCAATAAATAACCAATTTTTTTTTAAGGAAAATTACATTTAATTAAAAATTATAAACAATCATCTTGGTAATATACTAATGGCCCAATAGAGGGATGGGCACACACCTCACGTCCGAAAAAAGGAGAACACCTCGACACACTAACAATGAGCACACATAAAGCTCGAATTGAAGAAACCCTTCCCATTGAGATAGGCTTTCGAACGCTGGAGGGACATATCATCGAACTCCACAAAGTGGAAACATCTAAACGGTATAGAAAAAATTCTAGCCGGACCAAGACAACCCTATCAGGAGACATACAAACGGCCTTAAGTTGGCCACCAAAAACTAATAACAAACAACAAAACAAACGAGGGTCGGGTGGGGAGACCACCGTCCTTATTACAAGCACAAAAATTACATAAAAAAAAACAGAACAAAAAAACATTTGACCACAACCTTTAAAAGCCTCTGTGAAGGGCAACTGGTCAATGGGCCGTCGAGGGAGATAGTCGGCCAAGAGATTTCAGCCACCAAATGACAAACTTGTTTGGAAACGAAGCCCATCCATTTGGCTTCCAAGTTTCAAACCGGTTTAGATCCACCCAAACGGAGCCACCACACCGTACACTGCACCATTAACGAGAAGCTCATGACTAGGCGAATCAGAGGATCAAGTTTCATGGCTAGGAGCTTGGCGGTGCGCCTGGGGGCGGCGCTAGAACTCTATTCGTTGTTCACTGTTTTTTCTCTAATTCGTGTGAGGGGAAAAGAGAGTTAATTAAAATGATGCAAGTACTCTTAAAGAGAAAAATAACAAATTCTATATAATATTTTTTATAAGGTAAAGAGAATGGAAAAAAAAAAAAAAAATCAGATTTGTTAACTAGTTGCAAGGGTCACAATGTTTAGAGCTCTATCATGAATATGGCTACATTTGATTATCATGCTCAATTCATGTACCAATCTAAGTATTTAATTGCAATAAAATTTACTTGTTCCAAATATAGGTCTTCAGCATTCGTTTATTATTTTTCTAAGGAAAAAAAAAAGTCAAGATAAGTTTTTTCCCCCCCTAATTGATAAGTGAAATCATTTCCCGGTAATGTATGAATCATGGTATTTAACAACCACATCAGCGTGAATATCGCTCCAAATTGATCGGTAAGTCTACATGGGCGGCGATGGAGATTCTTAATGTCAATGTTGTAAATCTCATGGAATATTTTTTTAAGTAATATCGCATATAAATTGAAAGTTTTATATGATAGGATACGCCTAATGATAATGAATGTTTCTGAATATTATACAGTTAAGAAAATCCTATTAAAATAATAAAAATATGCAAAACAGACTAAATTAGGGCCCGTTTAGTTCGTTGATTCAAATTTTTAATTCGAGTTGAGATGTGACTTTATGTGAGAGTTTTTTACTGTAGTAAAAAATTAGATGTCACTGTTTTTAAAAGATTTTTACTGTAACAAAACTCGAATCGGTAAAATAAACGGGGAAAAAATTAGATGTCACTGTTTTTAAAAGATTTTTACTGTAACAAAACTCAAATCGGTAAAATGAACGGAACCTTAAATATGACCGTTTAAAATGTATCTTTATTGATAGGATTTTTTTAATCCGTACTGTACAGTAAAACATTATTTAGTATTTGTGTGTATGAAAGGACCAAAAAGTCTATTTAAAGTCCAGATTAATATCATGGATTACGGTCATTTTCAAAGTGGAAGATGAAAATGATATATATAAAACATAAAGGCCAAAGCACCTTGCTATTAAAAAAACTCGAGAAGCTTCTTAAATGGGATTCTGGGATATTAACTTTTTATTTTATTTTTTATATGCCGCTTTTCATTACTCTCTCGCTTGTGAATATTAAATCTTATTGTTCTTCAAAGTCAATGCCCATCTCATAATTTTTTTTCCCCCTTCCCGGGGGTCACCATGTCGTGAAAGATTGGACCTGCTAAGCTTAAATAAGCTAACAAGTCTTGAGATAATTTACTAAATTTTCTTTAAGTCTATGTGACCAATAACAAGAAGATTAATTTTTTTTTGTTAGTTTAGCGATAAATTCACATCTAACTCTGTTTTAAAGTGTAGAGTTTAAATACTCCACCACAAGTTCAAAAAAAGAATAATAATAATAATAACTAGAAGGATTATATATCATTAAGCACCTTAATAAGTTTTAGCTTACCGTCTTAATCTTAAACATTTAGTGTTGAAGAAATTTGGATGACAATCTGTTTCTATTTGAGTGCAAGAAAGTAAGAAAGAAAAATAGTAGATTTGGTGCATAGGGACCACTTCTTTCTTTTAGGTGTTAGTACTTAGTAATAGCAAATTGCCTTCACTATATACTAAATATGAATTTAGTAAGTAGCGATCTTATTAAATTACTAAAACATATCACATTACACATGTTTCTAAGTAAACAATTTTTTTTTTTTTGCTCTAACTATGAAAACAACTTTGCTTGCGTTTATCTTTTTAATGTGTCAATTGTGTCGCTTTTCAATCTCCCAAAAATATTACAATTTTTCTAACATTTAGATAGAATTAGATTCTACATAGAAGGAGGGAAACAATAGAATCTAAATTCACGTGAAGCATATATTAGAACATTTATTTTGGGAATGTGCATAGATTTGACTTGTTCTCTTCTTCTGAATTTTTCTTCAAACGAGAACTATGGATTAAAATAACTGCATCTGGACTTCTTTCACAGATTATAAAGCTTAATTAATGTACTATCATGTCTCATAGTTGACTTATTCTTTTGTCATTTGTCAATTTAATTTTTTTTCATTGAAGGAAAACCATTGACTGAAGTACTTCGTCTCTTACCAAGTCTAATGTATATAATGTGGTTGCATATTAGCTTAGTGATAAATTTATATTCACTTTTATTGTTAAGATTTAAGAGTTTGAATCTTAAAATACTGCAGATTATATCACTTATGGAATAACTAACAAAGCTTCTGAAATGCTCACAAATGGAACTCCTTAATATTGAAATTAGTACATAATTAGTAGTTACTAGTTAGTACCTCAGATTGGTAATTAAGCGGGTTAAGTACAGATCAATACTCTTCAACCAAAACCCGATCGTTTACCATTAGACAAACATTTCAGGTTTATTTATTAAATATATATTAATTCTGGATTTTGATAAAAGTTCAGGTTTAATAAGATGAATAATATAACGTATGTGATATCTGTAATATAAGTTTGTATACGAAAACGCAACAAGGTCAAAAGTTATGTCACATGTACTTTTAAATTTTTATAAGAATATTTCTTGCTTATTTTTACAGAAATTAAAGGATATTGGGCATAACTCAACCTAATAAAACCGGCTTGTTAGGGAAGAATTGCCCTTACCTTATTAAGTGGATCATACCAATATCTCCAGTCAATGTGGGATTCTAATACGTCCCCTCACGCACAACATAGACCATGCCAAATCGCTACGAATAAGTCGATATTGGGGGACCCAACATTACAAAACTGGGCCTGCTCTGATACCATTTTATAGAAATCAAAGGATATTAGGCCTAACTCAACTTAACAAAACTGACTTATTAGAAAAAGATTACCCTCACCTTATTAAGTAGATCATACCAATATCTCCAACTAATGTGGAATTTTAATACTTATTACAATTTTATTCTCTTTTATACATTTACCTCAAAAGAATTTGTACGTCTCAAAAGCATATAGCTTTATATAATTCTTTTATACATGATTAAAAAGTAATTAATATTAAGATGCACTCTCATAGATTAATTTTAAGGCCAATAAAAATAAGCTTCGTTTTTAACTTGTTCATGCTTTCAATTGGACAAAATTTAGAAAAACTCTCGCGAAATTATATAGAATCGGATCCAATAAAATTGTCGACGAAAATTGAGCTAATAAAATCGGATATAATAAATATTTTACTATAACAAAACTTAAATTTTAAATTTAAATATAAAATGAATGGGTTTACACGTGTCCTTTCCTCTTGACTTCGATATTTGTCAAGATAAACGTTGTTCACAGAGGTGGGGCCCAATCTCTGTACAAATGTAGGCGTGGCAATTGGCAATTGTCCCAATCTCTGTACAAATTTTGGGCAAGAAATCGCATATATAAATATATATATATATAAATATATATATGGTCATAAACTGAATAGATAGAAGAAAGAGTAATTAAGATGGTCATAAACTGAATAGATAGAAGAAAGAGTGAAATTACGGGGCCATAAAAAAAGAAAAAAAAGAAATAGGATTTTAAGGGAACAAGAGGAAAAAGTCCAACCATTACCCCACCTTGTTGTGTGTTTATTTCAATCTCAGTTCCTTCTTTGTTGCTTCCTCTCCATTTTCCTAGAAAAAAAGAAACTTACAAACACTCGTGTCAAAATTGAATATATCTCTTCACTTCCTCTATATCTATTATATATACACACACATATATGTATATTTATATACTCTAAAAAGCCAGAAGAGGTTTATATACTCTAAAAAGCCAGAAGAGGAAGTGATTGATTCTGATCTTGATCTTGGTCATCCATCATAACGTCATGGGAAATTGTTTCGGAGTTCCTGTGATTAACCATAGCACTCCCGCCACCACAAAATCCTTCATCTCAAGTAATCATCTTTTTCTTACACATATACATATATATATATATATATATATATATATATACTATGTATATGTATGTATTATAATCATGTCGTTTTTTTCAGATAAATCGAAGGATTCCTTAAAAAAATATGGATTAGGAGCAACTAAAAGAAGCGAAAAACAAAATGGAGGAGGAGAAGAAGAGATTAGGGCCGTTGATCATGGGAAGGCTACGATGACTGCAGCGTCTGAAAACGACAACAATAACAGGGAAACGACAACGCGTAGCGAGGCTCTGCCGCTTCCCCCGAATTCTGGGAAGATCATAACGCCGAACTTGAAGTCGTTCACGTTGTCGGAGCTTAAGAAGGCGACGAGGGATTTTAGACCGGACACGGTGCTCGGAGAAGGCGGCTTCGGAAGGGTTTTCAAGGGTTGGATCGACGAGAAGACGTACGCGCCGTCGCGTGTCGGCGTCGGAATGGCCGTCGCCGTCAAGAAGTCCAATTCCGATAGCTCTCAAGGACTTAGCGAGTGGCAGGTAATTCTTGTTTAGTATTTTTTTAACTGTGGAAAAAAAATATTTATATTTATATTTGTTTTCCTTTTCTTTTTATTTTTAATAGAAGGAATTATATTGTTTCATTTTAGAATATGATAGTTGAAATGTGGATAGTTATTGCTATGTTGGTCGTTTAATATTGCCAGCGCCGCCGTACACTTTGAGTTTAGGGAGAGAATTAAGAGAGAGGAAATTTTGGCTTTGTTTTTTTTGAACTTTTTATAACATTTTTTTTAATGGATAAAAGGACATTCGGACCAATAATTGCAAGTACCATTATTATGACACGCTTTATCAACGCGCGTGTTTTAGCTTTCACATTGGTCTAGTGATAAAGAATGCGAATTGTGATCTAATCTCTTTCTTCTTATTCTTAAAAAAAAAAAAAGAGGGTTTTTTTTAATATATTTTATTTTAGTTTTTGCTTGGTTATAAAGGTCTCGTGCTTGACCACAGAATTAGATAGGAGTATGGGGCTAGTGCGTGCTTAGAATGTAAATAGTTATTTATTATTATTATTATTATTTTTTGGGAGAGTTCATACTAGCCATGGGTTGGAATTTTCTTGTTGTAAAGGGGTGGACCAACTATGGGAAATAAAACTAGAATTAAAAATTCCCCTCCATCATCTATATTTTGACTATCTCATAATGCATAATGGTCTAATTTTAGGGCACTTTATACTTCAATTCGATTTATTAAGGTCCGTTCATTTCACCAATTTAAATTTAAAATTCGAGTTTTGCTACAGTAAAAAGTTCTAAAAAACAGTCACATTTAATTTTTTTGCTACAATAAAAAGTTCTCACATAAAGTCATATCTCAACTCGAATTAAAAATTTGAATCGGTGAACTAAATGGGCCTAAGTTCTTTATTTATAATCTTTTTAGGGAATATATTTATGCTTATTATATATAATAAGCATGCACATATATTTTTGAGGAATCAAATTACATAAGTTGATTGTGTGTTGATTTTGAGAATGCAATATTTGAAATGCAGGCAGAGGTAAAATTCTTGGGCAAGTTTTGTCACCCCAACCTAGTTAAACTCCTTGGATATTGCTGGGAGGAAAATCAATTCCTCCTTGTCTATGAATATATGCAGAAGGGCAGCTTGGAGAACCACCTTTTTAGAAGTAAGAAGCACTTATTGACTTACCCCCAGAAAATAATTCATTATTGAGTTCTTTAATTTTTGGATTTACTTTAAAGAATAATTTGGTAGGATACCATAAACAAATTTTTTTTTTTAAAATCTACTAATAAGTTATAGTTTCAGTTAGTTATTATATTCTTTTATATAAATATATGAATCAAATTTGACAATTCCAAACTATATCCTACTAAAATAGGTTTTTTTTTCAAAAAAAAAAAAATCAGATATTGTCAAATGACCTAACATTTAGAGACATACAATAGTAATAGAGTCTCTTTGTAAATTTTTAAAATTTTTGGTATCGTTTAATGCAGAAGGTGCAGAACCACTCTCATGGAGTACGAGGCTAAAAATAGCAATAGGTGCGGCAAGAGGCTTGGCATTCTTGCACAACTCAGAGAAGTCGGTCATATATAGGGACTTCAAGACTTCCAACATTTTGCTTGACGGGAACTACAGTGCCAAGCTCTCCGATTTTGGGCTTGCCAAGCTTGGCCCCGTCAATGGGAACTCTCACGTGACAACGCGTGTCATGGGCACTTATGGTTATGCCGCTCCTGAATATGTTGCAACAGGTAATACTATCACCGCCATCTATCATCAAACCAAATTTTTTTTTCTTCTTTTCTTTTAATTTCTTTGATAGAAAACTTTCATTAGACACAACTAGGGCTGCCTTAGGTTGTGTTTGGTATGAGGGTTCAAATCATGATGGTTTTAATTTTAAAATCAGAATTATAATTCATGATTTGAACATGTGGTCCAAACCATAGTTCTGAAACCGGAATCAAAACGTTTGAACCATCCAAGACATAAGAAGGGAGTGGTTTTATTTTTGAGGTGATTTTCATTTAAAACATCACATCAAATCTAAATTTTAAATCAGAACCATCTAAACTAAACACTAATTTTCAAGAACTATTTTTTATTTTTTATAAACAAACAAAGATTAGAACTAGAATCATAAACTCCGGTTCTAAAATTCTCGTACCAAATGCAACTTTAGTCTTCTTAAGTCAAATATGGGCTAAAAAGAGTAGTTGTCTTATGGGTTAGATATTGCAAGCAAAATTCTTAACAGGGTACGTAGCATTTAAATCGTTATGCCTCTCAAGAGAAAAGCCATTCTTTTAAATTTCCCTTTTTATATTCTCTCTTGATTGTTAATTACAAGGCATAAAATCGAGATTTAAAAAAAAAAAAAAACTCATATTTAGGTTTCTGCGTGTTTTTTGTGATGTAAAAACAATGTTGACGATGAATCTTATTAAACAAAACACGTGGGCAACCTCGTGCCAATACATAAGACATAGTGGCAACGGCCCCACACTTATTAACGATAAACTAACTTGTGGAGAGTGCTTCCAAAATTCTAGTGAATCCAATAGCTAGTGTGTGTGTATATATATATATATTTTTTTTTTCTTTTTTTTTTTAATTTAGAGACCATTAATTGAAAAAGCTGTAACAAAACATTTATGTGTCAATTAACAGGTCATTTATACGTGAAAAGTGACGTGTTCGGTTTCGGCGTTGTGTTACTGGAATTATTGACGGGAATTCGGGCATTAGACACGAATCGGCCGTCAGGACAGTATGTATTGATAGATTGGGCTAGACCGTCTCTCACAGAGAAAAAGAAGCTAAAGAAGATAATGGACAAAGGACTCGGAGAAGGGTACCCAATAAAAGGTGCAATGCAAGTCGCTGCGCTTATAATCAAGTGCTTAGAATCCGAGCCTAAAAGTAGGCCATCAATGGAAGAGATCTTGGAGACTTTGGAGAAGATTAATGCCATTGAAATAAACACAATACATAACAAAACTAACGTTAAACGCCAAGAGGCCGAATCTTCTTCTTCTTATACTTCTCATCAGCAATATCACTCTCCACTCCACCAAAGGCATATCGGTGGCAATACTCATCGACACTAGTAAATAAATTACAAAGTTGTCATCTTTTGTCACAAATTTTTGTTTTTTTTTTTTTTTCATTCTTTTAAGATTTTTTTTTCTTGTAATTTATGATAGAAGTGTATCTTATACGGTTCGAATTATGTATAACATGTTTGTGGGATAATATAGGCCTACTGGCCGCTCTCGAGCCAAATTAAGAAATCAAGGGCATCGATGTATTATTTATTATTTTTGTCAATGAGAAAATATTTGACGCTCTGCAGATTTGATTAGCTAGTAATAGTAAGTTCATTAACGACAATATATGTGTGTATTTCTTCTAGAAAGGGACGAAAAATGACATTGGAAGATGACATGTTGTTACATTTAGCAGCATCATAAAAAAAAAAAAAAATTTATCGCGTCACGCGTTTAGAGTAGGCACTCATGAAATTATACAAAATAGGCCTATATTTGCATTTTTGTGAAAAATCGTGGAGTATATATCCTTGGTTCTTCCACTTTATGTCGTACGTAGAGATAACATTAGGTCAGTAATTAATTTGTTAATAATTATGTTTTTTAAAAGCACACAATTAATAGTTGTTTCTCTATATTCTTTTCATCCTCTTTTTTCTTTTTTAATTTTAGTTCTTTGATGACAGAGTTTTTCATTTGCTTTTGGCATAAACAAAGATGAAAGATAAATCACACGCTTTAACCCAAAAAAAAAACAAAAAAACAAAAAAAAAACAAAAAAATTCACCCGCAAAAGAATACTCTACCAATAAAATGGCCGGCCTAGTAATAGCTAATTAAAAATGAGGAGACTTTCGTGGTAGATTAAAAAAAAAATGAAGAAATAAAAAATTCTACCAATATTTTTATTATCAGTATTGTAATTATTATCGATATAATTATAATTATAATTATTAATGTTGCTGTTGTTGTTGTTGATGATGTTTTACTAAAACGCGTCCAACCCGTTGACTGCATAGAGTCACAAAGACACGTCTACGATTTCTCTTCTTCTTCAACCTTTGAATTTCAAGGCACATCGTAGATACTGATCTCATTAACCCAGCCCCGGGCTCAGATGATCTAAATTGTATACTCGTAAAAATCAAGAAAGAAAATTAGAGATCTTGATCATCATATTCTGATCATCATATGGGAAATTGTCTGTTCAAGGCTAGCTCTGAAGATAACCCTACTCAATCCATCCAAATTAAGCCTCCCAACAATCCGCCAGGTAATAAATTGTATAGTTGTCAGTCTTCTTTCTGCCTCTCTTTCCACCATACGTATACATATATACGTACATTCATATATATATATATATATATATTGTGTGTCTGTATATATGCTACGTACGTGAAGTAGAAGTTTTAATGATATATACATGTATTATATAATGCATATAAATGTATATATAACGCAGGATCATCATCAAAAAATGGTCATGACCAAAACGACAAGCTAAATCATGAAATATTGGTGGCAGATGATCAAAACAGCCACGCTCCTACGGCGATCGGCGGCGAAAGAAGTGGTAGAAACACTAGTCCTCCATTAATTAATGGAAGGTCGACATTATTAATGGAGCCAAGCTTAAAAGTATTCACCCTAGCGGAATTGAAGGCGGCCACAAAAGAATTTAGAAGCGACACATTCCTTGGAGAGGGAGGCTTTGGAGAGGTCTTCAAAGGCTGGATCGACGAGAAGACGTATGCGCCGTCGACGGTCGACGGCATTGGTGTGCCCGTTGCCGTCAAGAGGTCCAAGTTCCCTTATAGCTGTCAAGGCCCTAAAGAAGGGAAGGTACGTAATTTTGTTGCTTCTTGCATAATTTATTTATTGGTTTTTTTTTTTGGCCGGCCAAAAGCTTGTGACATTAATAATTAAACTTATTATAAAATAATTTGTGCATTTGTTGTTTGTTTTTGCTAATTATATGATTTCTAAGATGATAGTTCTGCAGTAAGATAAAAAAAAATCATCCTATATATTGGTGTAACAAATATTTCTAAGATGATAATTCCTGCATAAAATGATGAGCAAGCATTATATGCGATCAGTTGGTTATTTTTCATATCATATAATAAAATTCTTCCAACCGATGAAGATTAAAAAAAAATGATTAATTAATTTGGACCATCAATTACATATGATGGTGCAGGCCGAAGTGAAATTTCTAGCCAAGTTCTCTCATCCTAACCTCGTTAAGCTCCTAGGTTTCTGTTGGGAGGAGAATCAATTTCTCCTTGTCTACGAGTACATGCCCAAGGGAAGCTTGGACAAGCACCTTTTCATGAGTAAGATGAAGAACGTTTAAAAAATTACAAAAATCAGTAGAAGTACTAAACATATTTACAAGATTCAATGCAAGTTTTATCGTTTTTTTGTTGTTTATTAGGAGCAAGTGTAGAAGCACTTTCATGGGACATGAGGCTTAAAATAGCAACAGGAGCGGCTCGAGGCCTGGCTTTCCTACACAATTCAGAGTCGTCAGAGAAGTCCGTCATTTACCGTGATTTCAAGACATCAAACATTTTGTTGGACGAGGTAATAAAAAATTAATAGCAAATGAATAGTTAGATATTCATTAAGTTCTATTAAACTCGTTTATTTTTTTTGGTTTAATTATAGCATAATTATAACGTGATATTTTTCTTCATTTTACAATGTCACATTGCTTGAGTTTTCATAGTACGCTATTTTGTAGGAGTATAATGCCAAGCTCTCAGATTTTGGGCTAGCGAAGTTTGGCCCAATAGATGGAAAATCTCACGTGACGACACGTGTCATCGGCACTCATGGTTATGCAGCTCCCGAATATGTTGCAACCGGTAATTACCATTTATCAACATGAAAAAGTTTTGAATAATTAGTTTGGATGGTGCCTAACTTTTTTAGTAGGTGATAATGTGATCTTTATTCTTTTAATTTTAATAAAACAATTCTCTAACTCTCAAAATATTGACAATTAAGTCATTTCTGTCAAAATCCGTTAAGTTTTTAACAGACTCTTTCACATGAGTTGTCATGTGTTATCTTCTTTAGTGAGAAGACCAAAATACCCTCAAAAGAAAAAAAATTAAAAACAAAAAAAAATTCAGACAGAAAAAAAAACTAGAACAAAAACAAAACCAAACTCTTCCATTGTCAACATTGTCAGCAACTATTACTGTCCATCTGACACACTTTCACCACCCCTTTCCTTGCCGTCGTGAGATTCAACCTACCCTTCCCTGTTAAGTTTTTAACAGACTCTTTCACATGAGTTGTCATGTGCTCTCTTCTTTAGTGAGAAGACCAAAACACCCTCAAAAGAAAAAAAATTAAGACATAGAAAAAAAAAACTAGAACAAAAACAAAACCAAACTCTTCCATTGTCAACATTATCAGTAACTATTACTGTCCATCTGACACACTTCCACCACAAAACTAAAATCACAATAGCATAAACCAAACAAAATCATAGAACCCAAACCAAATAGTAGGAAAATTATGAAAACCCAAACAAAAGGGTCTCCCCCTGATGAGAACATCAGGGATACAAGAAATACTCACGATCTAATTCAAGTCCAAGTTGGTTTGGTGACGAGGTATCGAGCCATTACATGGCCAAATTCACATGAGATTCCAAGATACAAGTGCAAGGGCAAGACCAAGAGGATTAGGCGTGTTTTTCAGCCAGGAATCAAGTCTAGATTGCGGATCAAGACTTGATTTCATCATAATCTTATCTTTTTAGATTTAAGTTTTAGTTTTAAACATTTAAATTTCATAATAAGCGCTTAGAAGGAAGGAGTTGGATTTAAATTCGGATTCCTTCCTTAAGATAAGCTTTTAGGCATTTTTTAAGTAAGGAATTAGATTCAAATTCGGATTCCTTCCCTAGGAGTTATCTTTAGGCGTGTTTTATTTTATTTTTAGGTAATTATCTTGTTTTAGGCGCTCTACCTCATTAAGGGTAGAATAGGACTTTACAATTTTAAACTCTTCATGTTATTTTTAGCTATTTAAGGCTGAAATTCGATTAATAAAATAGTTTTGATATTTTTATTCACATTGTGAGATATTCTTCTTGAGTTCTTGAAAAAATTATTCCGAACTTATCAAGGTTTTATTATGGCATTCAACATTGACTTATCAAATGGATTTTCCATACTCGTTTGTGGCGTCTTCACCATACCAAGGTTCTTGCTTTGCTAAGCAATGGGTCGCGGTTTTCATTAATTCTTGAAGATCTTGAATTGTAATCCCATATTTAGTTACAGGTTTTGTCACATTGTTGGCGGGGTTCGTATCAGTTGGTATTAGAGCTTAGGATCGTCAGGTTTTCCTATCATTTTCTCTTTTATTGCGTTTTCCTTTTCTTAGTAAAAAATAAATCGCCCAATTAGAGTTAGGGTTTTCAATTCGGAAAAAAAAATTTGCGATTGTTAGCTAGCCATGTATTTTAAGTTTGAGTTCAACTACTATTGTTAGATTTCGACTTCCACTAGGTTTACAAAACCGATTACAAAAAAAAAAGAGAGAAATCGGAGGACTGTGACTTAGAACGGCTATAACTTTTGATCCAAGAATCGTTACGGGGCACATAATATATTCAATCGAAGCTCTTTTCAAGCTTTACAATCGCAGTAGGGCATAACCCACCAAAACCATTTTTCAGGCCAAAATTTGATCGCTTTCATTAGTTTTGGAGCCCTTAAAGTTTGAGTGTCAAAAAAAAAAGTCTGTGACAAATTTGGATTCGTTTGGTTTGAGTTTTGACTTGATTGGCTACTTGAAACTAGTATCAGAGTGGTTAGTTTTGAAAGAACTAAAAGAAGAATATGAGTGGAAAAAAAGGCACAGTGTGTGAGCATATTAAAGGGTAAAAGCCAAATTACTTTGAGTGAAACACGAGTGGTTTGAGTGACTTACTTTTCGAGAGAGACACCTATTAATCATTTCGCAGGAACACAAGATGCTTGGGCTAGTGGCACGTCGAGCCTTAAACATGCAAGCTAAAGAAGAGGAAGAGGAAGCACAGCGGGAGAACATCTTTCACACTCGTTGCCACCTAAAAGACAAGGTATGTAGTGTTATTATCGATGGCGGTAGTTGCACTAATGTTGCTAGTACTTCAATGGTTGAAAAGCTAGGGCTCACAACACTTAAGCGCCCTCATCCCTACAAGCTACAATGGTTGAATAATAACGGTGAAGTGAGGGTTACAAAACAGGTGGTAGTATCGTTCCGAATTGGTAAGTATGAGGACGAAGTATTGTGCGACGTGGTACCAATGCAAGCGGGACATCTCCTTCTCGGAAGACCATGGCAATTTGACCGGCGTGTGCAACATGACGGCTTGACCAACAAATACTCATTCAAGTACAACCAAACGGACTATCACTCTAGTTCCGTTGACACCAAAACAAGTCTATGAGGACAAGTGAGGTTGCAAAAGTTGAGTGAACAAAAGAACAAGAGCAAGCAAAATAATGAGAGTGAACAGAAGAATGAAACCATGCATAGTGAGAGTCAGGTAAAAGAGAGACCCACGGCAAAAAAAAAGAGAGTTATGTCGAACCTAGTAAGGAAGACAAGAGAGAGATGAGTTCCGCCAATGGGGTAAAAACTGAGAGAAAACAAAGAAATTCCTATGCAAAAACAAGTGAGGTTAAGCAAATATTGATTTCAAAACAGTCGATGAAGGTACTCATGCGGGATAATGGTAACAAGAAGGTGGAATTTGTGAAGCAACTCCATGAGAGGGCACAACTGGTTTTTGAGCCCAGAGATTGGATGTGGTTACACATGAGGAAAGAAATATTTTTGGCACAAACGTTCTAAGTTACTGCCCGGAGAAGATGGACCTTGTCAATTGCTAGAACGGATCAATGACAATGCCTACCGACTTGACTTACCGGGTGTTGATTTGAGGACGAATCATTCTCAAGAGGGGAGGAATGATGAGACCATCAGGGATGCAAGGAATACTCATGATCCAATTCAAGTTTCAGTTGGCCCGGTGACGAGGTATCGAGCCATTACATGGCCAAGTTCGTATGACATTCCAAGATACACGTGCAAGGGCAAGACTAAGAGGATTAGGCATGTTTTCCAGCCAGGAATCAAGTCTAGATTGCGGATCAAGACTTGATTTCATCATAATCTTATCTTTTTAGATTTAAGTTTTAGTTTTAAACAGTTAAATTCCATAATAGGTGCTTAGAAGGAAGGAGTTGGATTTAAATTCGGATTCCTTCCCTAGGTAAGCTTTTAGGCATTTTTAAGGAAGGAATTAGATTCAAATTCAGATTCCTTGCTTAGGAGTTATCTTTAGGCGTGTTTTATCTTATCTTTAGGTAATTATCTTGTTTTAGGCGCTCTACCTCATTAAGGGTAGATTATGACTTTACAATTTTAAACTCTTCATGTTATTTTCGGCTATTTAAGGCTGAAATTCAATTAATAAAATAGTTTTGATATTTTTATTCACATTGTGAGATATTCTTCTTGAGTTCTTGAGGAAACTATTCCGAACTTATCAAGGTTTCCTTATGGCATTCAACCTTGACTTATCAAATGGATTTTCCATACTCGTTTGTGGAGTCTTCACCATACCAAGGTTATTGATTTTCTAAGTAACGGGTCACGGTTTCCATCAATTCTTGAAGATATTGAATCGTAATCCCATATTTAGTTATGGGTTTCGTCACGTTGTTGGCGGGGTTCATATCACCCCCCCTGCGCACATATCAAGCCTATTTGCCCCCCTTTGTCGCAAGATTGCCACCCTTCTCTCCCCGTGACGAGATCGCATCCCCCTCCCCTCCCTTGTCGTTATTCAGATCAGAGTCCCCTTCCCTTGCCGTCGTGAGATTCAACCCACCCTTCCCTGTCAACACTAGATTGAAGCCCCCTCGTCCCCACCATCGCGAAGCAAGAGCCATCTTTCACTCGTTCAGATTGGAGTTCCCTTCCCTTGTCGTCATGAGATTGAGCCCACCATTCGCCGCCAACACTAGATTGAAGCCCCCTCGTCCCAGCTGTCGTGAAGCAAGAGCCACCTGTCACTCGTTCAAATTGGAGTTCGTTCTCCGTCTTTGTCTCCCCACGCCGGTGTTGTCGCCCATATCTCTGAAAACCCGTCGCCATTCGGATCTCTGCAAATCAGAAAGCCGCAATGTTTGCCTGGATCTCCGCATGGCATTGCTAAGACTTCATGAACCTAAGGCCGCTACCTAGAATTTGCGAACTCAGAACGCCACCACCACCGCCTAGAGTCTACAAACCCAACGCCAACGTCTCCTCTCTCTTTCGCTAGCTAATTCCAAGTTTTCTAAAGAATATTAGCCCCAAATTGAATAAACTCATGATTTTACGAAAATAACTCTTATAATCGGGTCACATGGGTTTTAATGTGGGTAATTTGGTGGATCTGGACAGAAATGACTTAATTACACCTATTTAATGATGTTGGGGATTATTTTGTTAAAATTAAAAGAATAATGACCAAACTGTCACATATTAAAGAGGTTAGGAACTATCCGTGTCAATTATCTAAAGTTTTTTTTTTGTTTTTTTGATGAGTAAGCCATTATCAACATGAAAAAGTTACACGTTTATAATCTCGTTCCTTTTACCGTGTGATACCTAATCATTTGAACATTTATTATTTATTAAAAAATATACGGTATAAACAAAATTAATTTGTTGAATAATTTTTCTTCCTATAAGAAGCTAATATTTGATGAATTCTGACAATCAAACGCATGGATATAGGGCATTTATATGTAAAGAGTGACGTGTACGGTTTCGGTGTGGTGCTGCTGGAAATGCTAACGGGCCGACACGCTATAGACGAGTTTCGGCCCGTAGAGGAGATAGAACTGGTGAAATGGGCTCGGCCTTATCTTAATGACAAAAAGAAACTGAAGAAGATAATGGACCAAAGGCTGGAGAATCTGTACCCAAGAAGGGGTGCATGGGAAGCAGCTAAGCTCGTGAGAAAATGCCTCCAATATGATCGCAACAACAGGCCATCCATGAAAGAGGTTTTGGAAACTTTAGAGAACATCAATCCCATTATACAGGGATGACCAAGTGGAACTTAAACCTTTTTTCTCTCTTGGGTGTGAAGAGAATATGGAATCTAAACGATGGTTAATATTTCTTTTGATGATTATTCGTCTATAACGCAAAGTGAGTCCAAGTCTATTCTTCCTTTTTTTTTTTTTTTTTTTTTTTTTATTGGATGTCCCTCCGCTACTTATTTATCATGTCCTTTAAATTTAACGTCGTAATCATAGGAATAGAATCGAATATTAAAAATATTAAAACTACTAAAAGAGATGAAAATTTAATTTGAGAAACAGCCGACGGTACAAGAAAACGGAATAATAGATCTTGATCCATCCGAAGTCCATTATGCATTTCTAATGAGGGGAATAAACGACGGAAAAAAAAAATAGTATAACCAATGATTAGTTGTTTCTTCCTCCAAAAAAGAAAAAGAGTGAGAGTATAGTCCAACCAAAGATTACCAAAGATCGGTAATGATTGTGTAAATTGACAACTTCCAGTGCAAACTGACAAGGACATTCTCTTTTTGGAGCCAAAACTTTGACCAAAAATCTGAGAATCATTCTCCATATCATCTAGAATCAAGCTGTATGAATGCTTATGATGGCTTTTACACTGGCGCTTTGAGGAGGATATTACTCAAAACTATGCAGTCTCTACCACCAACTTTTCCATCATTATTAGACTATATTGTATCTGTTCAAAAAGGACAAGAACATTAGAATTGCATATATATTCCCTGTTATTTCCACCCTTCATCGTTATTGCTGATGTCTTACCATATACTACATATATGCATAAGAAATATTATTACATGATAAAAAGCAAATTATAAATTGAATCTCATATTGTTATATGTGGTAATTTTACTATAACATATATAATAATTGTGTTATAAGTGATGATAACAGTACTTGTTTTCAATGATACATGATTCAAATATGAAATTCACTTACTTGACAAAAGAAAAATGTGATACTGACGTCAATTTACTAAATCACTTTAATCAGTTCACATTTTATTTTCTTTTATTTGTTCTTATGCTCCCAAAGACTACTTATCCATTTATTTGTTTGTTTGTTTTCTTTTTTTTTTTAATGCAATATCCATTTATTTGTTTCACTTTGGTTGGCGTCCCCATCTGATATTTAAAAAAAAAAAAAAAAAAAAAGTAAAAGAGCCATGTGCCATCTTCCGTTAATCATGCATGCTGGAGCCCTCAAACATGGCAATGACATTGCATGCTTCATAATGATGAAGACATATTTTGGAAGTATCCGTTACAGAGTGATGCAAGACTCATACCTAAATTAGGTTAGACACTAGACATTTAACGTGTTTTCGAATGAATATTTAACTAATATTTGATGACCACAATTATGAATGTTTTAACGTCCAAATTAATCTTATTGTAGCCCCTAATCCCTATTAGGGGCCATATACATACATACATATACATCTATATATATATATATAGGCAACGCGTATACAGTACTAGCCACTGCAGATTTTGCTTTTATTTGTAGTATTCTTGATACATATTAGAGAGATTGAAAACTTATATGTGATATCTCTATATGTCCCACTGAAAACACGAACTTAAAGTATATCCAACATGCATTTGGAAGCACATGAAATTAATGAAAATTATAATTGAATCCCCATGCATGCTCCTACATTTGGAAGCACAAAAAACGACAGCCCAATAAAGGAAATTTTACAATTCATCATCAGTAAGTGAAAAATTAATTAAAAGAGTACTACATTAAACGTAATTAATAGAAGTAATGATTTCATTTCCACATGCTTCACACTTTCTGCAGGAGAGGCCGTGCTTTTTTCTAGGGGAGTAGTGGCAGCCCTTTTGTGCGATGATTTAATTCTGGTGATTACTATATATATACCAAAGTCGGAAAAGGCTTTCTTTTCCTTCTTTTTTTTTTTTTTGATTATTAAGAAACGTTTATTTTTAATGCAAAGGTAAAGGGAGCTATGGAGTCGAAGTTGGACCACTTGGTGATGACGACACTAATCATATACATATGATGATGACTATGATGCTTTGTTGGCCTTTCACTATGTATATGATTTAGCTTCTACAAGTTTTGTTATGGAGCTTCTTTTTCAACGGGAGAGAAAAAAACTATAAAATTTTCTTAATTAGAGGCGCTTTGATTGGGTTCAAACTTCTAGGAGTTGATCTACTTCCATATTTTCACATCCTTTGCTCGCTATCCACATGAGAAAAGAAAATGATGACTGGTGGACATTATCGTTAATCATATCATATTATAACGGACATGTTTTCATTTATCAGCCAATTAGGATTTCAAGAAGATCATATGTATATATATATACATACACCCTATGTGTGTGTATATATTCACTCCTAGGTAGAGGGTCGTATTCATATATGTCGAGAGAACGGTAACATTGATTTACCTATTATTCTTATTCTATAATTGTATGTGTGTGTATGTATTATATCATTAGTTGGATCATATAAATGCATGGTTAGTCTTAATCCACACCAATAAAAGTTAGACATAAAAGTGTGTCCAAATCCTCCGGAGTTCAGAACATGCATTTTTGAGTTCTACAATATATCCATGAATTTATGGAGAGGTGGACAAGAGAGTCCGTTTTTATCTTGTAAAGACTTTGAGTGTAACGGCTTCTGTTAGTGTATTTTGTAATTTTAGATTGTCATATTTTTGATAAATTAGTTGAAATACATTCTAAAATAGGCATATGCTCATTTTAATTAGTTGACCTACGCTAAAGCATTATGACCGGTTCATCTAAGGAAAGAATCATGAGAATTATGGTCTCCTTGCTGTCATTGGGACTGGCGGCTTTATTGGTGATTAATGGATGAGATATTACCTTTATTGGGTGTGGTTATCCTTGACAAAAGATGCATAGTGCAAGCATGTGTATAAGGTGCTGTACGAGAAGTAATTGGGTGAGATGGCTTGACAGCTCGTAAAAAGGATTTGGTTTGAAATTCAAAGGTGGTGATCAAGAGAATCGGGGAACTGATTCTTTCAAGGAGTCCAACATATATTTTTATATATACCACCTAAAGACAAAAGGTAGTTGCAAAAATTCAAGAGAGAATAGACAGAAAATATTTGAGAGAGATTTTAAATTGAAAATATTCAGAAAAAAGTCTATGAGATAGTGAGCATTCGAGTGTTGATTGAAGATCGCTCTTCGGGAGAAGGATTAGAAGCTTTCGGGAGAAAGCGCATTGCCAATCGAAGGGATTTCACCGTGCAGTTAAAGATGAGTGGTGCTCGCTAGACAAGACCTAACATTAGGAGATTCGACACGACGGCGACAACGTCAATGAGGGAGTCCTTGAGTGTATAAGTCTGGTTGGTGTTTTGTAATCTTTTAGAACTTAGTAAATTGTTCAATGTCTGGGCGTGGCCCTGCAGAGTAGGTGTGCGCACCGAACTGTAATACCATTTTCGTGTGTTCTTTATGCTTTCTGTTCTTTTATTGCACTTACAATCACTGGAACTTAATTAAAAGAAAAACAGATTTGTCTACACTTTTACTGTTATCAGTGTTACAACAAGTGTTGCAACACTCTTTGTGACACCGACCGAAAAACGGACTTAACAATTGGTATCATAGCGGTGCACTAACCGTTTGCTTGGTGAGATTTTGGGAGTCGGTCTGTTATAACATGGATGAATTTTTTGAAAGAAGGAGGGTTAGTTTCGTGTCCTCCCCTCCTAGACGGTTCCAACTACTCATATTGGAAAGTGCGTATGAAGGCGTTCATCAAAGCTATTGATGAAAAGGCATGGAGAGCTATCTTGAATGGTTGGGAGTATCCAGTTACAAAGGATTTTGAAGGGAATGAGATATTAAAGCTCGAAACTACTTGGTCAACCGAAGAGGACAAGTTGGTGAACAACAATTCTAAAGCGCTGAATGCTATCTTCAACGGGGTAGATGCGAACCAATTCAAGCTCATTTCAACGTGTGAAACAGCCAAGGATGCATGGGAGACATTACAAACGGCACATGAAGATACGGCTGCCGTGAGGCTATCAAAACTTCAAATCCTCACTACAAGGTTTGAGAACTTTCGAATGCAAAAAGATGAAATAATTTCTGAGTTTAATTCAAAATTGTGTGATATTGCTAATGAGGCATTTGCCCTTGGAGAGAAAATATTAGAGGAGAAGCTTGTGATGAAGGCCTTGAGGTCTCTTCTACAGAGGTTTGCTTACAAGGTGATAGCTATCGAGGAAGCCAAGGATGTCCAAACAATGAAACTTGATGAGCTAATGGGTTCTTTGCGCACTTTTGAGATGAATCTGGATGAAAAAAAGAAAGGAAAGAAGGAGAAAAGCATTGCCTTTTAAGCCGAAGTTGATTCTGATGATGAAGAAGACTTGGCCCAGTCCATAACAAGGTTGTCGAAGAAATTCAACAAGGTGATGAAGAAGGTCAATAGGAAGAATGAGAATTCAAGAAATGGCAACTCCAATAGTTTTCAAAAGAGTAAATCTGTAGCAAATAGCACAAAATTGAAGACAAAGAACATAGGTATTCAATGGCGAGAGTGCGACGAATATGGACATATTCAATTCGAATGCGCCAATACTCTAAAAAAGAAGAATAAGTCTCTGAATGCGACGTGGAGTGATAAGACTCTGAAGGCAGTCAGGAGGATGAAGACCATGTGAGTAACTATGTTGCTTTCAATGTTTATACTAATCAAGGTGTTTCTGCAGACAGTGTTACAAAAGGTAACGCAGACAGTGTTGCAACATCACCTGTAACAGATTCTGTGAACAGTGAAAACGAAGGAGATTTTTCAGATTCTGAAAGTAACAGTGACGGTGAGGAGTTGACTGTTGATGCCATATAGGAAGCTTATAAGACCATGTTCAGCAAATGGGTTAAAGTGTGTGAAATAATTAAGTCTCTACGAGAGCGCATCGATGATCTTGTAAAAGAGAAGAATGTGTTGAAGAGAGCTGCTGATAATTATGAATTCCTTGCTGCAGAAAAAGAAAAGAAGTTGAAGGAAACAAGAGCTAAACTGGAGAGTACTCATAAAAAATTGAAAATGATGAACTCCGACACCA